GGGATTAGGGTGACACGCAGGGAAGAATTTGGAAGTGTTGGAGGGGTTTGGGGATAAGAGACAAGGGTGGAGGCGGGAAGGAGAGAGACTAAAACATGTTAAATCAGGGGGGTACAACCTAGGAATGAGCCATTGTGAAACTGGGTATAACCTGAATTAACACAAAATAAAACAATATGCTGTGACAGGTAGGGCTATTTGTGGTGTTCCTAATCTCAATTTATATCCAAGTAGGAATGCTTGGTTCCTTCCCCTGGGTGGAGCATCTCGCCATGAGATGATGTAATTTTTGAGTAATGTAGTGAGACCTTGATTGCCCATTGGCAAAGATAGCCCCAGAGGGAGTTATCAGGGATGAGTCCTGGAGGAGATAAGGAACGATGCCACTCCTGTTTTAGTAGCTTATGAAGATGGTAATAAAATACATACTTTTGGTTATGTCTTATGTTATAACCTCAGACACATAGCTTCCAGGAGGACCTGTTCCATTATATACTGGGCACCATGGTAATGCTTGCAGATTGATGGTTCCCAAGATCCTTTTTCCCTTTTTAAAAAAAGCCATGAAATTCCCTTTCGTCCAGTCACTGACGATTTTGTCTGACTGCTGTAAGATGGACATGAGTGCAAAAAATACCTGTTACGGGTACAACAAACCACTGCTTTTGTCAATAATGGAAGTTGCATTTTATGTGAAGACATTTAGGCTTTTGTAATTTTTCCAAATGCACTAGAGGCCTCTAGAATACACTTCGATGTCTACTTTTACCATGTTGTTACAGATTCACCATGGAGGAGAATGACTGAGTGTAACTGGTCTAGTTTTCCCATCTAATTATTTTGGTTTGGGAAGGAGGTCTGCTGTTCTTGAGGAGTGACTTCAGTTAGTCTTCTTGTCTTTTGTCTTATAGAGAGTGCACTGTTTCAGCTGTTTGAAGTTTAGCTCACAGTTTAAAAGGCATGCAATCTCCTATTTGTCCGCAAATGTACAGGATTTGGAAAACACTACAATGTAATTTCAGGTGCAGTTGACATAATGGACCCCAATTGCACTTGGTTAGTCAGGTAATACAGAGGGAATATATCCAAATGCATGCATATGGTTATATTTTCTGTAAGATGAAATTATTTATGCATTCCTGTATTTTTGAATGGAGTAAAAATCACAAGTGCATTATGATTATATTAATCCAGAGCATTACATTTAAACCAAACTGAGAGCTGTTCTGAAGCTTTTAAATCATCCTGTGCTCTCAAATAAGTGATGGAATTGTTACAATAACTCTCAGAATTGTAGTGCTTACAGAAAGCAGTTATGTGACTTAGAAAATTCATGTCCTATCCAATTCTGTGCATCTTCCATCTAAATTACTTCTGTGACTGCAGTTAGTTTTAATTGAAGTAGTTTAGAAACTTATAGCTTGAAATGAAAGCTAGCAGATCACTTATCCCACTATCCTTGATCTAGAAAGGGATTAAAAAGAAAACATTTTCTCCATTTTGAAAAGATTTCCCATATTCATCGAGTGCTGCATCTCCAGTATTGAATACTCAGAATAAAGCAACTGCTGGGCAGAACGGTCTTCTAGTGAATGAAGGGAAACAGAGCATCCTGTGTGCTCACTGAAGATGAAAGTAATTTACTTTTTGGTATTCAGTGAGGGTGGCATTGTGTGTAATAGGTCCATGTCTATCTAGTAAGTTCTGTCTAGCAGTGAATTGATGTTTATTTTTGTCCCTTCCTTCTGTGATGATACTGGTCTGCCTTCAGTGGTGTTAATTTTTTGACTGTGCCATCACCAGGGAGTACCTCATATTTCTTGCCAGTTGATGTCACAATAAGTCCGTTATTTATGCCAATTAAGAATATATAATAAAATTACTCAGTTAAGTGCATTGCTGTCTTTTTGTTACTCTCATAAACTAATCTGAGAGTATGCTGATGAAATAATGTGTAATGACAGCATCTTTTAGAATAAGTCGGCTGGTATTTTTGCTTAGAGCACTGTTATGGCATGAACATTGTAACAATGACAATGCCATAATACTTTTATGGTGCTTGTTCGCATTCAGCAGAGTAATGAGTAAGGATTCAGTTTCTAAGGGAGTATGTGTGTGAGGGTGTGTGTGTGGGTGTATATTTACACACAGGTGTAAGTAAAGCAGTATATTGTTACACTTTTTTTTGAATCAAATGTCTATTTGTTTGAAAAACTGCCACAGAGACAAGATAACAGGAATTTCTTTGAATAGAAAATTGTGTGGAATATACATGAAACGAATTTTTTACTATAATACATATATGTGTTGATCATATCTCACGCTGCAACATTAAGAAATTGAGGAGACGGGAAATACTCTTGTTTGCTGATGATGCCTGTTAAAAAAAGAAGCCCGGTCAAGCCACCTACAGCCTTCTTACAAATTTTTGCTTGTTAATTAGATGTTATCAGTGCATACTGTCTGTGAGTGACTTCTGTGAACTTGAAAACAACACCGTATTATTTTAAGAGCCTGGGGTGTCTAAGATTCTAACTTTTCTTGTCAGTTACTGATCCATCTTCTAGTGACATGTTAGGTTGTTGAAAAGCACAGCACCTCACAGATTCTGTAAAGAGTAAAAGTATTTTTTGTTGTGACTACTCAGCAGGACTGTTGTAAAGAGAATACCTCTTATTTAGGAATGTAATATGTGACTGAAAAACACAAAGAAACATTGCCGCAGTAGGATCAAGAGAGTCTAAACTGACAGTATGCAGCAGTGTGAGTTTAAAAGTCTTGTGAGACGTAAAAAAGAAGCAAGTCTTGTCACTTGAATATGAAGTGTATATGTCAGCTTGGTAAAAGACTTGAGCTGCTTAGTTGGAAGTGTACTAGTCTATCCTAGAGGTTAGGGGAGCCCAGAACAGTCCACAGTTTTTCAGTGCTTATACCAGCCAGGCAGGTTATTTCATGCGTTCCCCTGATATGCAGTATTTTGATTTCCATACAAATTTTTCCAGCCTGGCAATCATGTGTTTTAAAACACTCAATTTGTAACACACAAAATTGACGGCATGTGATTATTATAGAGTTCTTACTAAAAATTAACAGTAAACCAATAGCACCCTCTGTCCTCCCAACTGTTCTATTTTCCCACTTGGGGATATGGACTGATTAAAGAACTAGAGAGTTTGTGTCCTGTATTTTTGTAGTGATGATTAGAGAGGCTGTTTGGATTACGTGTAAAGAGATTGGAGTTTGTGGTGTTTTTTTTTTTTTTTTCTGCTCAGAGGGTATTCTCTTCCAGATTTGAGAAGATGAATAATAATAAGTCAATAATAATTTATAATGCTAGAAAGATTTAAGGTGTGATAGGAACACTTAACAGTTATTAACATTCTTAGAAATAAATTCAGTGAAACATCAAAAAGAGTACCGATTTCAAATTGCAGGTAACTGAGATGCTTGATTTATGAATTTATGTTAAAGGGGGGAAGTTTCTCTATTTATCCTTGTTTCACTGCTAATTTAAAAGTTTTACTTTAGTAAATTCAGCGTTATTACTTTTAATAAAAGATGTCAGCTAATTCTCCTTGATAAAGCAGTATAAAAATATTCAAAAGATTCTATGGTTCTAAGTTTCTATTAGACAAATAACTACAATATTAATATAGTTTTAGGTACTTTTGATATCACATAGCCAATGAAATATTTATTTAGAATTCCCTTCCAAAAAGAAGATAAAATGTTTTAAATGAGAATATTTGTCTTTCACTGCTTGCAAGTCAGAGGCATTGTTTTTTGATTTCTGCTGATGTTTTAGAAATTCACAGGTTCACTTGGTGCTGTAGCTGGTTGTTCTGTGTAACGTTTTTTAGTGGCTTATCTTTTGTCAGTATTTCTGAGTTTGCTGCTGTTAAAAATCAGTAAGAAAAAGTGCAGTTTACTTTGCAAAGAACATATTCAAAGCCTAAGGTAGTCTGCATTTTTGCTTGTCTTCCAGTAATGATGAACTACAATCGCTTTCACTGCGGACTGAGGGGAAAAATGTCATTTTTCAGGGAATACACAATATGTTCTTTTTTTTTTTCAGAGTATTTTTGTTCTTGCATGCAAACTTAATTGCAGGGTGAGCATCTTTATCTGGCATTAGATATGTTGTGTATAATGAGTAATTTGTGCTAGCTTGCAAATGACATCTGTATACTGCCTTTATATAAGATCTCAGCTGTTTAAGGTACACTCTTGCTGGCCTCTTGAGCTGTTAACGTGCACTTGAGTAGGCTGAATGTTCTTTGGGTAAGCTGAAGATTGATACATCCCAGGCCTTGACAGCTGCAGTGTTTTTCTGTGCCAACTTCAGACGGTGTAAGTAAGCAGTCTTTTTTTCCATAGAAATTGTTTGGCTCCCAGGGCCATGCAGGGAAAACCTTTACCAAGTCCATGAATTCTGCCAAGAACGTAAAAAAACTGTTTAAACTTCTTTTCATCTTAAACCTTAATAAGTAATACTAATTCCATTATACAAAATGCTTAATTAATCATACTACTTAGATTTAAATGAAATAGCTATTAAAATGTTTGGCATGTTAAAGATAAGAAAGTCACATATGCCCGTTCAATACTCCTTATTGCAAAGAATATTTTTCATTTTATATTTAGGATGAGTTTTTTAATATTGTTTCATCTACTGTTCTTTTAGCACAGACAGAAGTGTTGTAGAACTTAGTTATGTAAGGAGTGGCAATTTCACTGACATAAGTACAAATTTGTGGCTGATTTTACTCTTCTTTGGACAACTTAAAATAGTCTGTTTGTGGAATAATTACACGTTAAATTGAACAGCAGTTAAAAGATGGTTTGTACCTGAGTGTGTGTGTTTTCATTAGGAATTTTTGTTGAAACTTTATATTTTGTATTTATATTATCAAAGGGAGATTTGGCAAAGTTTGGGTAGAAATTCAATTGTCAGAGGCTCAATATATTCTGTATTGAGCAAAAATTATGGGAGGGATATGAAGACTTCCCTCTTATTGCACATATATAGATATATATATATAGAGTACATATTTGTTCATTAGGAATAATTCAATACTTATTGCTGTTGTTTTCCGTTTTTTGGCTTTTCTTTTTGTAATGGAGGAAAGTGGTGCTTAGAAATATTTGAAATATTTGTCTGAAAGTTGTGTACTCTTCCATGTTATTGGGATGCCTCAAACTGTTTCCTAGCTGGGACCTGAATTGTATATGAATTTGCGTGATAGGACAAAAAGCAGACACCACTGCTTGTAGACAGTCTCATGGTGTTTGATAGTGCTTCTTAGAGTCATACGGAAGTCTAAGGATCTCAGCTCTTCTAATATATAAAAAAAAGCAGAAAACCCAACAGCTACTTCTGTAGTTTTGTATTCAGGATAGTAAAGGAGAAAGTTAAGGAAGCATGCTTAGAAGCAGATCCAAGACTTCAAACAGGCAAACAAATCTAACTAAACATAGCTCATGAGGTCATCAGTCAGCATAAGAAACGGTTGACTGTTTGCTTGACTCAAGATTTCTGAGTATTTTCAGGTAGAATACAGTTAGCACTTTGTTCTGTTGGGTCTTCTCTCTACAGTAATTTCATGGTCTTTAGACTAATTTCTTAGTAATTTATGGTAGTTTAGTATAAAATACACAGTGAATTCTGTATTAGATGTATCAAAATGCTCAAACACTATTGCCATGTAATTTCTGCTCTCCATATTTCTGATCAGTTGAGCACTTTGAATTAAAATTATTTTTAAATTGGAGTAGAGACAGTGGTTTATTCCTGCTATTATGATTCAAAGAGTTCCTTATACTGAAAGGTAGCAAGGCTGGGGAAGGGTGTGAAGCTCAAGTCCTGTGAGGAGCGGCTGAGGGAGCTCGGGTATTTTAGCCTGGGGAGGAGGAGGCTCAGGAGTGACCTTATCACTCTCTACAGCTGCCTGAAAGGAGGGTGTAGCTGGGAGAGGGTCATTCTCTTCTCACAAGCAGCCATGGACAGGACAAGAGGACATAGTCCTGAGCTGTGCCAGGAGAGGTGTAGGTTGGACATTAGGAAGAATTGCTTCACAGAAGGCTTGACTGGGCATTGGAATGGGCTGCCCAAAGGAGGTGGTGCAGTCACTGTCCCTGAAGGTGTTTAAGGAAAGATTAAATGTGACACTCAGTGCCATGGTTTGGTTGATATGGTGGTGGTTTGTCATAGATTGGACTGGATGATCTCAGAGGTTTTTTCCAGCGTAGATGATTCTGTGAAAGTAGTGTCATTTTGTCTGGAAGGACTACTGATTTAATGTCCTTTGAAATAATTAAAAATAAATCATATTTTCTTTGCTATTGTTTAGAGAGGTTTAGTCCAGCTTTGTGGCTTGATTTTTTTGTGTCTGTTTTTTTTGTTTGCTTACCACCCTGACTTACCAGCAAAAACACAAGTTGTTTTTAGCTGTTCAAATTTGAATCCAGCTTCTGTGCAGATCCTAATACTTTTTGGAAGCCTGCAGTAGTTCTTCCAAATCTGGAAAACATTTTTATTTTTCAGTCTGTTTCTGCCTGAGAAGAAGCAGTAGGTTCATAATTTGCACACATTGTAACTCTTCAGGTGGCCTGTCAAGGCATTTTTGGGAGATAGTGTCTTTTATTTTGAGGACATGAAACAAGTGCACACTTTTTATTGTCCTTCCCTCTGATATTTAAAAGTTCAGTATACTAAGTGTGTAAGGTGATAGCAGGAAATAAGGGGCTGTACTTTTTTTCTTTTTACTCATATGGTGCTTAGTGTTTATCTTTTAACTTAATTCTGAGCTGAAAGTTAACATATTTTTAACACTTGTACTGAGCAAAGACTTGGATACTGATGAAAAGTAATTTGAGTTACTAATTATATGGTGTACACTTCAGGTTTTGTGTTTCCTTTCTTCAAAAATGAATGTAGTGTGCCATAATCCAGTTAGCTACTGTTTGCATGCAGCAGGGTCACTCATGATTTTGAAGAGTGCTTACACTAGTAACCCAATTTGGTTAGAGCAGGACTGTGGTTTTTTCAAATGTTTTAAAAAATCTTGTTCCTCTTTTCTTCCTGCACAGTGTTTTGTTAATTGTTTGATTTTGTTTGGAAGTTTAAGAAACAGAGTCAGCATTTTAAAAGCTGTGCACAACCCGTGAAAGACAGTTGAAATTTTTCTACTTTTAAGAAAGATGAACTCTTTTCTGGTGTAGTGCATTTTGCATAAGCTGATAATGGTCTTGAATTACAAGATCTTTCTGGCAATTTGGTGTTTAACATTTAGATTTGACATTAGAAAGAATTTCTTGTCAGGCACTGGAACAGACTACTCAGGGAAGTGCCATTCCTGGCAGTATTTAAAAGCCATGTAGATATGGCATGTAGGGATTAGTGGTGGATGTAGCAATGTTAGGTTAATAGACGGATATCTTGACCAGAAATGTCTTTTCCAGTCTAAATGATTCTCTATTTCTAAAACACTAGTAGACATAGCTGCACTCTAATTATTTTTGCCTATTGAATGGGCCTAGCTGCTATTATGATAGTTTGGCTTATTAGTTCCTAATTTTATGTCAGACTGTTTCAGTAGGTTTCATCCTAGTCTAGACTATGGTTTATGTACACGTGTTTTCTTACTGGTCTTCATTTTTTGCTGGATTTTATTTTTCTACCCTAACATTTTATATAATTAACACATGGGTTTAGATTGTAAAATAACTAATACTGGTGCTTCCAGTAATAAAATCGTATGGGAATAAGAAGACACCAGTGGAAAAGAGCAACTAATGTGTAGTAGAAAATATAAATGGAAAGCTTTTAGCTATTATCTAGTTTTCAGAATTTTTTGAAGTCTGTTTGTAAAGAATATTGTTTTCTTGCTCTCACTTGAGTTTTTTTTTCCAAAACTTCTGTGTACTGCTTAGATGAGTGTGTGTTAGAAGGCTGTTTTACTGCATATTTTGAAATAAAGAGCTTAATGTGGTAAAACTTAATATTGAAGGAGGTATTCCAAGCTTAGTATTTAATAGAAATTGTGTCAGTAACAGTAATAGATATAGTAAAAGGCAGTCTTGTTTAAATAATGTAATTTCTGCTGCCATATGTTGCACTGCATACTATTTTAATGTTGTTTGTAGGTGTTTGTTTTACTTCAAAATTCTCTGTGGTTAAAACTTTGTTTATTCAAGAGAACCATTTGCTATGTTTTTGTCATTCATGGAACAGTGGGTAACTTGCATGGAATTCTCAGTAGAATAGGGCTTTGTTGGCAATTTTCTTTTGAATATGCTTAGTATATATATCTTTTTTTGTCTGTAAAAGGTGTTATATGTGTAATGTGATTTTTCTTCTTTTTTCCTATTTCTAAGGTTGATAAAGAATTTGGTCTCTTTGGAAACATCTCCAGGTGTCAAAACCAGATCTTACTCAAGCTTTCACTTTGGTTATGGAAAGGTGAGTTTGAAGGTTTAACATGCTACTTAAAACCAAAAAGCAACCAGCCTCCCCTGCTGATACCATATTCTTTATAATTTAATTGAAAACTATATAGAGTTCTAAAAATGTGTTGAAAACGTTTACTTGTTAAATTTTGTCAAGAGTCCCTAGAATACATTGCAAATTTCCTTTTTTTTTGGTGCAAGTTGTAGCATACTTTAAAATCTATTCTCACTGAGATTGCTGTGCTGCAGTTCAGTACAATTTTGAAATTATAAATCTACTGCAATATTTTGTTTTCCTATTTTGTTTGAAAGAGCGGGAGGAGGAAGATGACTGATAATTTTCCAGTGTCGCAAGCTGTTGGATAACAGTTACATATAAATTTTCTGAATTCTTGAGGAAGTGAAAAGCTAAGACTTGGTAATAGAAAAGGTAGCTATCATAGGATTATAAAATATGCTGAGTTGGAAGAAGTCGGGATCCTTTAGTCCAACTCCCTGCTCTGCACAGGACACCCCAAGAGTCACACCATGTCCCTGAGAGCACTGTCCAAACGCTTCTTGGATTCTCTCAGGCTGCTGCTGTGACCCTGGGGAGCTGTTCCAGTGCTCAGCCACCCTCTGGGGGTGGAACTTTTCCCTACCTGTAAGTGCTTCCATCTTCACTAACACACACAAGCGAGATCTTACTTCTTCAGCTTACTCCTCTGAGGGTAGTAATGGTGATCATTTTTTTTCATGATACTATTATCTGATTCCTCTAAATGTTAGTTAATTGTCACAGTATGCAGTTGATTGTTTTGTAATGCTAATATTTATGAATTCAGATTTTTTTGTAGGCCAAAGATAAGGAGAATGTGAATGAGTTGACTGTCAGAATTGAGACACTTAATTATCTTAGGGTGCCTTGAGTTCTCTCTTCTAAAATGAAAAAGGGGAATTTTTAAAAAGAAAAATAAAGGATTTTAACTTTTTAAAATGGCATGCCAATTCTACTTGGGAAGCTTGTTATAGATTCATGAGGGGTCCTGGCTCCTTTGGTTTCCACAGGGTGCTTTGATCTTAGAAGACATGTTTTGTTGTTCATATCTTTCCTTTCTGGACTTCATCTGTGCATGTTCTTTCACTTGTGAAAATACAGCATTACCTTCTTTAGCTGGGAGTGCATTTCACAGAATCGGGATATTGTTAAGGTTAGAAGGGACCTTGGGAGATCATCTAGTGCAGCCCCTCTGCCAAGGCAGGGTCACCTAAAGCAGGTGACACAGAAATGTGCCCAGGTGGGTTTTGAGTGTCTCCAGGGAGTGAGACTCCACAACCTCCCTAGGCAGTCTGTTCAGTGCTCTGCTACCCTCCGTGTAAAGAAGTTCTGCCTTATGTAGAGGCACCACTGAAAAGACTCTGGCCCCATCCTCCTGACCCCCATCTCTGAGATACTTGCATGTATTGATGACCAATGTCGATATATTGATCTCCTCTCTGTCACTATTTTTTATAGTCTTGACACCTATTCTGCCTAGCATAAAGCAATGGAATTTTTTTGTCGAAAAATACAGTGTAATCATGCAACTAGAGCTAACATTCTGTATGATTCATGTCTGGAGGAAGACAGTGATGGTGTAAGGACATTATTTTCAGACAGCTGTTATTGGTTGCCAATAATGATATCAAGTAACTGCTGGCTTTGTACTGGGACACTAAACTGCAGAGTAGTAACTTGGCTGTTTCCACAATAAACCGTTTTTAGTATTGTTTTCATGTTTAATTTGGGAAATAATTTTAATATATCATGAAGACTGATGCACAAATTCATAGCATCCTTCATTTATGTTGAAATGCAAGATCATAATGATTTTTTTCCATAAAATTTGGTCATGTTTTCATGAGGACATTGGTGGTAGAATTCATCTTCCTTCACAAAACACAAAAAAATGAGTGAACTGCTTAAAATATATAAATAAAGTAATTAATATATGTAAACGTACATTACATGTATATAAGCACAGTTATATTGAAAACATTAAAAAACTTTATTGTCCTAACCACATTTTATAGCTGGCCGAACAATGTGGAAAATTGCAGTTCTTTTACCTGAAGCTTAAGAAGGCAGAAGCAGGAGTTCAGGCTTATTAACATTCTTTATTTATGTTGCATATAAAAATTATCAGGATATTAAGATGAATTGAAGCATAGAGATGTTAGAAAGCATGCATTTAAATAATGGTCACTTAATGAATTATTTGGAGTTCTTGAATTGGGCGCCTATGTAAGCTACAGTCTCCCTTCTTTGTTTATTATTCTTTATGTATAGGATTATTTTAATGCCTGAGAGTTGCCTCTTGCTTTAAATTATTTTATGCTTTATTTAGAACAGAAATTGGTCATTTTGTGTATTATGCTTATTGATACAATGAATATGGCGCTCTTATATACGATCTTAATGCACAAAAGCAAGGTAATAAGCTGAGATTTTTTGTATGTGTTTTGCACTGTATAGGGACTGGTGATTGGTATATGAAACCCTGCCAACATATTTCTGTTAACGTGCTTGTCTAGTTTTTTTTATGTCCTCTACTCTTTCAGAATTACACTAATGGTTTAGAACCTTTTTGAACTCAAGGCTGTACATGTATATCACAGCTTTTCCATGCTTCTCTGAATTATGGAATTAAGAAAGAAGAAATTGCTTCCGCAGCATCTTTTTAGGTGTTATCATTACTCCTGAGAATCCTGGAATAGGTTTGGATAAAACCCATTCGGTATATAGGAGTTTTATTAATCACAACTTTGAACTTTGGGGTTGCTTTGATTTGACAGATGGAGCAGTAGTGTGTATTTTTCTCTTTAATTGATATAGCTTCATCTCTTTTGCCGGAGAATGGTCTAATTGCCGCTTTGGAAATAGTTTCTAGCCCAGCTTTACCCGTGAACCTTCTGCACAACCAAATTACAGCCCCATATATTCTATCCTAACTTTTCCTGTTATTACTCTCCATAATGATTTCCTCAGTAGCTTCAGTTTCATGACTGCACCTCTTCACACTCATCCTTTCAGAAAAGTTTTTGTCTTATAGATTATATAAATAATATGTTGATTTTATGCTATTATCAGTTTATCTTAGTTCCAATACATTGATGAGCTTTACAGGGAGTATGCTATCTACCACTGCTGCTGTTCAGAAAACTACAGGACAATAGATTTTCTGGCTTTGTTAATCTGGGAAGAATACATAGGTTTAAAGAGTTTAAAAGATGGGATGATCAAATAACTGTTATAAGCAAGATGATTCCTGAAGCATGTCACTTGGGAGGATCTGTGCTGCTTGCAGCCCATTTTTCTGTATTATACACAGTGAGATGAGCTGGAAATTGAAAATTTACACTGAAATCTGATAAAAACCATTTAAGACTTATATATTTTTTTTCTTTCTCATCTATATTAGGAACAATAGAGACCCAATCATATTCAAGTTCAAAACTTTTTTCTGTCTTGCTCAGGCTTATTGTGAGATTTTGAGATAGAATGAGATGGATTTAAACCTTTTTTTGTTTCTACTTGTGACATGGATGCCACCAGTGTTTGAATAGGTTCATTTTTGTGTTCTCTTTCCACCAAAAGTTCATAACCAAGAATCAAACAATATTGTCCAGTGGATTTCAGTCATTAAATTGATGAAAGAGACAACTGGGCTTTCTTCAGGAGATTACAGTGACGAGAATTAGAAGATGCAGGACATAATGTTCACATAGAGCCTTACAACTTATACCACAGATGTGTGATGAAAAAGTAAAGAAAATGCATATTAGAAGGAATTGAATGGGCAGTACTAGCTTTACAGTAAGGTAATTTATATTTATAGCATTTGACAATTGCTTATAGTGTCTTTATCCAAACAAACCAGGAAAATATATAATTGGGGGGGGTGGGGGTGGGGGGAAATTACTAGTACCTTGCTATTATTTGTCTGTTATTTTCAAGTGTTTCATGGCCTCAAAATAGAAGGTCTCCTGCCCTAAAATTGTAAAAATATAACTTGTACTTTTTTATGACTATGCTGCTGATTCCTGTAATACACCAATGATACTTTTCAGCAGTCTTTGCAGTTCTTGCTGGATAACGGTAACTATATTCCCAATTTAATATTCAGATATAAACAAAAAATTATCTTTACTGTGCAAATGAGAAATACCTTTGGGATATGTAAAAGCCTCCAGGTATTTTAAACAAGCCATTGTAAAACTACTACTCATGTTAGTATACTTTCCAGCTACTTTAAATACTATTGATCTCAGTATTATGTAAAGAGTATGCTATTTCTAGTTTGCTGCCTTGTGAAAGATTTTTTTTTTTAATTTAAAAAAAAAAGTGCTAGAAAATAGCTCTTATTAAGTAAATGCATGTTTAAACTGAAATGGATTTGGTTCAGACGAGAGTATAAAAGGTTTTGAAATATTTTTGCAAACTTCAGAGCTCTGCTTTAAGACTCTTCTTTCTATAGTACATGAAAGTTTGACAAGTCAACAGACTAATTTTCCTCTAGGGCTTCTAGCTGACTCTTTAACTTTCTTCTGGAAGGGGATGTAGCAGAATCCATTAATGATCAAACTGTGGCAATGATACAAGACTTGGTAGAGGTACGTGGGGATTGTATTATGTGGGATGATACCCTACAGATACTTACCTTTGGCAAATCTGCCTTAGGCAGAGGTTTTTCCACGTCTAGATTTCAAGTGTGCTGTGTATTGAAGTTTTTAACAAAGGCAAAGAATGTATTTATCATTTCAGGCCACTCAAGAAACGGTGGCAACCTGAATGTTAGTGCCAGTGATTGAGAGCTTTGTTATTGTTCGTCCTGAGGAGTTACATCTGTCTAAAGGTGAACAGATGGACAAAAATGTGGCTGAAAAGCAAGAGATCAAAAATAACCAAAGAACTTTTGGAAAGGTAATTGCAGGAGCTTATGCTGTGGTTTGCAGCATCCTGTGAGTAGCATAAAGTAGCATAAACAGGTTGAC